ATGCAGTGGGGAGATGGGAACCAAGTCCTAGCCCTAGATGAGGTGCTACTAGCAATTGATAACTTCTTTTTTAATTTTTTTTTTATTATTTATGGGCCTTTGAGCTGTGACTCTTTTTCTTCTATTCCTATTATTCTTAGGTTTGGTCTTTTTATTGTATCCCATATTTCCTGAATGTTTTGTGATGAGAATTTGTTGGCTTGTGGTTTTCTTTGATCAGTGTGTTTATTTTTCCTATGGTGTCCTCAGAATCTGATATTCTTTCTTCTATCTCTTATATTCCAGTGATTATGCTTGTTTCTGTAGTCTCTGCTTGTTGACCTCGCTTTTCCATATCCAGCCAGTCCTCAGTTTGTGTTTTCTTCCTTGCTTCCATTTCAGGTATCAATTCTTGAACTGTTTCCATTACCTGTTTGATCATTTTTTCTTGGTTTCCCAGGGTATCATGCACGTATTTACTCATTTTTTCAAACTTTTTGTTATACTTCTTATCGATTTCTATAAGGGCATTTTTTACGTGTTGCATAAGGGACTCTATTGCCTTCATAAATTCAATTTTTTCCACTTCTTCTGTGTTAGGTTTTTCAAATACTTCTGTTGTAAGATCATTGGGTTCTGGTGTTTTCATGTTCTTTTTCAGATTATTGGGTGAATTCTTGCCTTGGTACCTGCCCATCTCCTCCTATTGATCCTATCTAATGGGTCTTTTAAAAACCGGATCAGGTTTCCCTGCTGGCCAAGGGCTTCACTTACAAAATGCCCTCGCTCTATTTCCTGGTTCCTGCTGCAGGCCAAGAACCCTCTCACCCCTCCGAAGGGTCTTCAGGACAGGACCAGGCTCCCTGTGTGCCAGTGACCTGGCCAACCAAAGGCCTACCTCTTTGATTTAATTGTAGTAGGGCGATCTGCTCTCCTTATTGCACGCCTGTCCCCGCCACTTGGGTCTGCCGCCGCGATGGTCCCGCAAAGCCTCTTCCTGAATGTGGTGTCGCTCTGCTGCGTCTGGCTGCCGCCTCTGTGTGTCTGGCCGCCGTGCTGCCTCTGTGTGTCTGCGACCACTGCTATCTGTTGAAGATGGTTTCTTCTTTTCATTGTATAATTTTAGATTCTTCATCAAAAGTCAAGTGCCCATAGATGTATGGATTTACTTACATGTCTTTAATTCAACTGTATTGAGGAACCTGTCTGTTCTTATGCCAATACCACTTACTTTTTATTTCTATTGCTTTATAGTAGAGCTTGAAATCAGGAAAGACAATTCCTCTGGAAGTTATTTAATTGTACAGGATTGTTGGAGCAATCCTAGAATTTTTTTTTTTTTGCTTTTCCATGAGTTGAGTATTGTTCTTTCAAGGACTGTGAAGAATTGTGTTGGAATTTCCATAGGAATTGCTTTGAATCTGTAGATTCCTGTTAGTAAGACGGCCATTTTTACTATGTTAATTCTACTGATTTAAGATCATGGGAGATCTTTCAATTTCCTCATAACTTCTCCAATTTTCTTCTTCAAAGACTTGATATACAGGTCTTTGATTTCATTTCTTAGAGCTACCCCAAAATATTTTATATTATCTTTGAGAATTGTGAATGGTGTTGTTTCCCTGATTTCTTTCTCAGACTGTTTATCATTTGTACATAGAAAGACTACTTCCTTCTGTCTGTTTGACCTGTACATTGGTGAGAGAGGAGTGTTGAAATCTCCTGCTATTACAGTGTGGGTTTTGATGTGTGATTTGAGTTCTAGTAATGTTTCTTTTACATATGTGGGTGCTGTTATATTAGGGGCACAGATATTAAGGATTGAGACTTCATCCTGGTGTATTGCTCCTGTTATGAGTATAAAGGGTCCTTCTCCATTTCTTTTGATTGATTTTAGTTTTTTTTAATTTATTTATTTATTCAGGATTTCTGCCTCCTCCCCACAACCACTTCCCATTTCCCTCCCCCTCCCCTGATCAAGTCCCCCTCCCTCATCTGCTCAAAGAGCAATCAGGGTTCCCTGACCTGTGGGAAGCCCAAGGACCGCCCACCTCTATCTAGGTCTAGATCTAGCCTGATCTGACAGAGGCAGTCAGATCTCTGTGAGTGCAAGGCCAACTTGGTCTATAAGAGCTAGTTCCAGGACAAGCTCCAAAACTACAGAGAAACCCTTTTTCAAAAAACAAGGAAACAAAGAGTCCTAAAACCTAGTACAACAATATACAATGAGAAGAATAAAAACAAAAAAAACATGAAAGACAAAACAAACCAGCAAAGTGTTAGAATATAGTGAGGGCATGGGTACTAGAGGGCAGCCCACTACTGCCACTTCCTAGACCAGGACACTTTCCAAGCGCATTCTAAACACTTATCCTTATGTGTATAGATGAGCATAGTACATCTCACCCTTCATCGAAGGGGCTTCGCTTTGCAGCAGAGGGAGGCTATTACAGGAATGCACACTTGGGAAAACAGGGAGAATGATTGTGGGGGCACATCCCCAACAAATACATCAACAACACAACCCCTATGCCAAAGGCTTAGGGAATATTCTGAAACATGGGGAAGAAAGATTGTAAGGTCCAGAGGACCAGGACATCTGCGAAGAAAAAGTGTCTTCTGTATGTGCCAGGGAAGCTGAACCCATAAAAATCTTAACACTGTGGTCACCTAAACAAGACCTACACAATGACAACATCAGTTGACATGCCAGCATGGATGGTGGAAATCTCACCGGGCCCTATACCTAAAACGAAATCACATGAGCACACACATGCCAACACTTGCATGTGTGTACATTGCACTTCTGGCTGATGAAAGAGGGGGAGTTGATTGGGGGAGGGAGTGGGATATGGGAGGCGGTGGTGGGGAAGAGACAGAAATAAATAAATTAAATAAAAAACAATGGCAAAAATGTTGCAGCAGTGAATAATATATCTTCCTTGATAGGATGCATTTTAAATTGTCTCTCTCTGTAATTGTCACTCAGCAGAGTCCAGTAAAGGGGGACGTGAAATTTACAATAGCACAGCAAGTAAATGGAACCAGATTAGGGGTATGCATTGCCCCAGTGAAATGTGAGTGTGTGTGTGTGTGTGTGTGTGTGTGTGTGTGTGTGTTTGTTCTACATATATCAAACATGAATAACTTCTAATGGTTTAATTTTGATTGTATATAACTTCATAAAATTTTGGGATTCTTTATTTGTTTCATTGACTTAATAGAGACTGAACTCAGAGCCCTCTGATGTCATGTGAACACTACAAAATTGATTTGTCTCTAGATCAAGCTTTTTATTTTCTTGCACTTCCAATATTCTAAACTTATAGCGTATAGCATATGCTGCCATGTTTGTTCAGTCTCCCACAGTTACTGAAGGAAAAGGGGGCAGTATTTTTATTTGGCTAGTAAAACATTTGCATATTGGATATATATAGCAGGTGTTGTTCCCACAGTTCATCTTCTATATCCTATATTTAATATATAGGTCACAGAAGGACCCCTGAGATCCTTTCTTCTTTTTCTTTTTCTCTTACTTTTTCTTTTCTGAAGACAGTGTAACTCTCTGTAATAGACTTGGCTTTCCTAAATCTCACTTTGTAGACCAAGTTGGCCTCGAAATCAGAGATCCTCTTGCCTCTGCCTCCTGAGTGCTGAGATTAAAGACATGTGCCATCACCACCCAGATCAGGCCTCCAGAGTTTTACAAGTGGTTTTGATGGATGTTTAAATGAAACTAAGGAAAATCTATAATTGTCATGTCACCCAGGGTTTGTAGTTTAGGGTCTTTGTCCTAGTGAATGCCTCTGTCCCCCAGAGACTGTGCTTTGGGATCTTTGCCCTAAAGAAAACTTCTCTCCACACAAAGCTTTGCATTCCCTGCTTATAGAAGCTTTACTTGTAGTAGCTAGCCAAAATATGGAAACCAAAATCCCCAACAAGTGAGTGGAAAAAAGAATTGAAAGCACATGCATATCATGGTATGGTACACAGCAATGAAAAGTAGTAGCAACTGAGAGGTGTGTGTGTGTGTGTGTGTGTGTGTGTGTGTGTGTGTGTGTGTGGTGCTGGAGAATAAAATCTAGGTGCCCACACATGTTGGGCAAGCAGCGTGCTCATAAGCGATATTCCCACAAAATGGAATCTTGATATATGCAATCAAGTGTATAGAATTAAGAGTATGGTGGTGAGTGGAAAAGGCCAGCCCCGACCATTTTTTTATGACATTGCTGAAATGAAATGATAATGGAACTAGCAAACAATGCAATGGCTGTCCCAGTTGAAGCACGCTGCTGGGTGTCATCATAAAAAACCAGCATGAGTGTTGCGGGAGGTCCTCCCACTCCTCCAGCCTATAGCCGCTGAGATACCAGCCCATTTGGGCGTGGTCTCTCTCCCTTTAAAAAAGCAGCCACTTCCCTCTCCTTGCTCTCTTCACTTCCTGCTCCACTGGTGACTAGACTCCCTTCCTGGTTGCATAGAGGGCTGTTGTCTGGGACAGAGATCTGTAAGTTTTTCCCCTTTAAATAAATACCACCCTATTAATCATAATTCCAAACTGGTGTGGCATTGTTTGTGACTTACGCCTTCACATGAGTAAAATTTTTCTGACAGAAGAGATGAAACCTGAGTGCAGTGATCACTGCATGAATTTACATGCATGATACAGTGACAGAGAGGTATAAACACCCTGTGTATCAGTGCCAGTGCCCTGCTTCCAGTCTATAACATGTATTCAAGTTGTGTAGCATGTATGGTAAACAACTGGGGGACTAATTACATAAAGAATATGTTCTGATTATTTTTAGATAAACAAGAATTATATTTCATCATATTGATAACATGGATTTGAAACAAAAATTTCATACACACACGCATGCACGAACGCAAACCTCAGTCAGTCCTGGTGATTCTTCTGGGTTCCAAACGATAAAATGGAATGGACACAGTTTTGAAAACAGAAAGACATACACTCTACATCAATGTTCTACCTTTATTGGCAACAACATAAGGAAGGAGGAGTCAAAACCTGTTCAAGTTTTGGAAACAGCATCATTGGGAGTATAGAACTACTGCTGTGTGGTGGCCCTTGCCAAAGAGTATCTCTTCCCAGAATGCCCCAGGGAGGATGTCAAAACTACTAAGAAAAAGGCAGCTATATTTGTGGGATAGACTTGAAACTTGTCATCTGAAAGTATTATTGTCACCAGGCTGGATGCTGATACTCCTACTGACCATGCAACCAAAACCATATCACCCTAGGGATTGGTGATGTTGAAACGCACGATAGTGTAGGTTCTGATCTTCTTCACATGAGGATGACAATGCCAAAGTTATTCTGTCCATTTGGGGAGAACCTTTTGAAACCCCTTTTTGTTTTTCCGCTGAAAATTCAATTTGTTTTCACTTGTCTGCATTGCTTCTGGCAGAACAGGGGGCTGGGTGGAACGAGGGTTGAGTGTCAGGTTATGGAAGTCTTGTATCAGTTTTTCTGAGAAGGGTGAATGAGAGGTTGCTTCTGTCCTGGTCCCCACAGAGACTCCGGACGTGGTCCCCATACAAGCTTGGCAGTAGCGGCATTCACATTTGAACATCTCCTCTTCAGCAACTCTAGGGGAAGATGATTTTCTTTTCTTTTCAGCTTGCTGAGGCAAGGGAGACCCAATACGTTTCTTTTTCTCGATTTTAACTAGTTTTGTTTTCTTCAGGGGTGATCTCGAATTCTCTGACTGCTGCTCTTTGTCCATTCTTTCAGAGAAAAAAAAAGCACATATTAGAAACACAGAGGGCCTGTTTAAAACAGCTCTTTCTGTACACAGTCCTGGAGCACCTATCAGCACTCACAGATCACATCTCAAAAGAGGCCTTGATGGTTTGTTTCAGCAATAGAAACCTTAGGTTCTAACTACTTTGTGCAGTCATTTTTCTTTTGTTTTGTTTATGGGTACCAACCTACCAACAAGCAAACAGTGTGCTCTTTGACTTTGCAACATTGGTTTCAGCCCAGTTTTCCTTGTACTTGTTTATGTGTGCCACAAAAAACCGCAGGGCAGAATTCCTTCACATGGAGCCCACAGATCACTATTTCTTAATGTAAGATGCTGATGCCTCTGGAAGCAATGCTTCACACTTAGCCTCTTCTTTAACATTTCCTATAAGCTCTCAGTCCCTCCACATAAATGTGATTCGAAAGAGTCCTGTCTCACAGGACATCTTTGAGGTACCAGGGACTACAAACACACTGGCTCCTAACACTAGCACTTAAGGCCTTAAGAACAGTGATACATTTGCAGTCCCACTTCCTTGGGCAGGAGAACAGAACCGATCAAAGAGACCTCCCCTCATCCAACTCCAAAGGACCCCTCTCTCCATCAGCCATGGCCACATCAACCAAAGAGGATCAATGTGCGACATTCCTGGGCACAATATGTGCTCTACATAACCTGCAGCTCAGGCCATACTTGGTTATCTCGCATCCCTTGCTGAGACAAGAGAAAACCAGAGAAAAGCAAAATGAACCCTAGGAGAAAACCACTGGACACAGATTGAGGTTGGCCGGCAAGTTCCATGTCTTACAGTTTTTTAGTAGCACAAGTCAGATCTTAAAGAGCACAGAATGCTGTGGACGGCCCAGCACAGAGACACAGGCCATGTTCCAATTCTGGGAAGCCTATACATGCACCTAATAGCTGTAATTACTGGGGACAGAACAGGCAGAAGGGGAGTTGATATAGTGGAGTGAATTCAATGATTGCAGGGGCTATAAGGGTTTATATAACTATAATTCTTAGCCATGGGTGCATTTATGAGTACATGTTTGGGATACAGGCATGAAACGGTTGATGCCCGGAAATAGAGCAGAGAGAATTTTAACAGATGATTTGGCTCCTGGCATGCTCTCTGACCTCTCTGAACTCATTTACCACCTGTATTAAAGGCAGTAGAGCCTACCATTCCCTGGTATAGTGCCTATGAGTGATCACATAGGGCTTGAGCACTAATGGAGCTTATTAGGAATGACAGCAGCTTCCCTTTGAAACCAGGGAAATTACTAGACTAGTATATGAAGATTTGTGATCAAAGATGTTTGTGCTACCCCATCAAAATGCAAATACACAAACACACATAGACACATGCACACAAAGACACACACTCACACACTCATAAAGGAAAAAGGAATGGAAAGGCCAAGTGCAGCGCTTGGTTGAAGGAGCTAGGAAGGCTTCTACCAGGATATGTAAATCAGTCTGACAATCACGGAGATAGTTATGGAGGTGTCTCAAAACATTTACTATAGGACTTCCACATAGTCTAGCCCTAACTTAACTCATGGACTTAAAGCAAAGGAACCAAAAGCACCTTACTACAGAGATGCATGACTATCCATACTACTAAAAGAACCCAAATCATGGATTCAGCCTAGGTGCCAGTTCATGGAAAAATTGATAAGGGAAATGTGGTGCCAGTACTAAAGGTGGTTTCACGTGGCTGCAAAGACAGGCTGCAGTAGTTGAGGAAAGACGATGGATCTTACGGAAAATAAGCCAGGTTGGGAAAGACAAATACCCCTCATGAAAACCACAAGGGTCAAAAATAAGCTAAAAGCCAACACATAGTGTATTAAAGTTACATGAAGCAGCATTGTGGCTGTAGGAAGGAATTAGGAAAGGGAGGAGAGGAGGGATAACAGGGAGTAGTTATGGGGATAAATAGAACCAAATTATCTTATGTGCATATATGTAACACAATGAAAGCCTCCCTTTTAATGATTAATATACACTAATAAAAACTGGAAAAGACAAAGATGCTTTTGATGGGTGGCTGGGCACTGTGTCCTTCTCGGATTATCAAATGTAGCAGGTGATGTTTGACTCCTGAATACCAAGGATCAGAACAACAAGCTTTATTGCCTTAGACTCCCAGTACCTAACACATACTTTTTTGTGGGTACATGAAAGATATTTCCCACACACCCGCTGCTCCCCCAATTGAGCAAAGCATTAGGTCTCCATTCACAGAGGGACCAGCTCTTCCAGATCCCACCTAAAGTCTTTCCTATATCCAACAGCATTTGCCATCTAGTTGTAACTGCTTCTGTAGTTAGCTGCCGTCCTACCATGTCAATGTCTCCCACTGCCTAGCACAGTATGTGAATGCCCTGCCCCAGATTCTGAATCTCTCCTACCTCTCCTGTACTCATTCCTCCTGATCTTGCTAATCCTCCTGTCACCTTTACACCTGACCGCTCTCTTCTTTCAACTATCTGCTGAGGTAGAATATTCACAGTGAGGCTAGCCCTGAGCACTTCACTTAACAGTGTGTGCTGGGCCAGAGCTGGGCATGGTGGTGCAAAGCCTTTAATCTCAGCACTTTGGAGGCAGAGGCTGGTGAACTCTGAGTTCCAGCCTAGCCTGATCTACTGAGTAAAATCCAGGACAGTCAAGGCTATATAGACAGAATACCCTGTTTCCAAGACAAAAGAAAATGAGAGCACAACAACAACAAAAGTTTCTGCCCTGGCATGACAGTCCAAATAGTGCAGCACTGACACACATACCTTAGCTGTAACCAACAGTTCCCAGTTTGGACTTCGAGCCTGCTCAGGAGGGAGAAATCCTGTCTGGTACTAGAACGCACAGCCTGCTGGAGTCATGAATCTTGGAGGAGATTCTACAACTGCTCTTTTACTAAAACAGCATAATTCCTGACTACTTTCAAAGTGCTTTTCCTCATACCCATAGATAAGTGTAGTCTTTCACCCTCACTAAGGAAATGTAACTTTGTGACAGACAAAGATCAATGCAAAAACCTACTGATCAAAATGCAGAGTTCTGGCATCATTCCTTGTGAGCTCCATGAAGACCAATACTTGATGAACATAAGACATGAGATGACAGTGCCCTGGGACCCCGGATCCTCCACTCACAAAAATCTCTACATGGGAGAAAAGCCAGGGACCCCCCTCCCCAGATACCTTCAGCATTCCTAGCAACAGGAGGGAGCTGGTCCACTAAACAGCAATCTACCCAACCCCCAATGTGTTGTTCCATGTGAGCTCCATGGAAACCAATACTTGGTGAACATAAGAGACATAAGACATAAGGAGGAGATGGGAGTGTGCCAATATAAGGACTTCTCCAACATCCTAAATGCAACATGACACCACCAGAACCCAGCAGACACACAAAAAGAAGACTTGATCATCCTAACCCAAAAGATATAGAAGAAAATGACTTTAAATGATACTTGATGAAAATGATGGAGAACTTTAAAGAGGAAGTAAGAAAAACTTCTTAAAACAATAGAGGAGAAGACAAACAAAAAGCTGGAAGAAATGAATAAATTTCATAAAGAAACCCAAGAAAACCACAAAAAAGCAATCAAACAGGTAACGGAAACAGCTCAAGATTTGAAGATTGAGATAGTGGTAATAAAGAAAACACAAACCAAGGGAACTCTGGAAAAGGAAAATCTGGGTAAAAAAACAGGAACTACAGAGACAGTTATAACCAACAGAATACAAGAGATAGAAGAAAGAATCTCAGGTGCTAAAGATTCTATTGAGGAGATAGGCTCATTGGTCAAAGAAGACACTAAATCCAAAAAATGTCTTAACACAAAACATCCAGGAAATCTGAGACACCATGAAAAGACCAAACCTGAGAATAATAGGGATAGAAGAAGCAGAAGAAAAAGCATTCGACAAAATTCAACACCCCTTTATGATAAAGGTCTTGGAGAGAATAGGGATACAAAGGTCCTACCTAAATATAATAAAAGCTATTTACAGCAAGCCAACAGCTAACATTAAATTAAACGGAGAAAAACTCAAAGCCATCCCACTAAAATCAGGAACACGAAAAGGATGTCCACTCTCTCCATACCTCTTCAACATAGTGCTTGAAGATCTAGAAATAGCAATAAGACAACATAAGGAGATCAAGGGGATTCGTATTGGAAAGGAAGAAGTTAAGCTTTCGTTATTTGCAGATGATATGATAGTGTACATAAGCGACCCCAAAAATTCTACTAAAGAACTCCTACAGCTGATAAACACCTTTAGTAATGTGGCAGGATACAAGATCAACTCCAAAAAATCAGTTGCCTTCCTATACACTAAGGAAAAGGAAGCAGAGAGGGAAATCAGAGAAGCATCACCTTTCACGATAGCCACAAATAGCATAAAATATCTTGGGGTTACTCTGACCAAGGAAGTGAAAGACCTACTTGACAAGAACTATAAGTCTTTGAAGAAAGAAACTGAAGAAGACACCAGAAAATGGAAAGACCTCCCTTGCTCTTGGATTGGGAAGATCAACATAGTAAAAATGGCAATTCTACCAAAAGCAATCTATAGATTCAATGCAATACCCATCAAAATCCCATCAAAATTCTTCCCAGATCTGGAGAAGACAATAATCAACTTTATATGGAAAAACAAAAAACCCAGGATAGCCAAAACAATCTTATACAATAAAGGATTGTCTGGAGGCATTACCATCCCTGACTTCAAACTCTATTACAGAGCTACAGTATTGAAAACAGCTTAGTATTGGCATAAAAACAGAGAAGTCGACCAATGGAATTGAATAGAAGACCCTGACATTAACCCACAAACCTATGAACACCTGATTTTCGATAAAGGAGCTAAAAGTATACAATGGAAAAAAGAGAGCATCTTCAACAAATTGTGCTGGCAAAACTGGATGTCAATCTGTAGAAGAATGAAAGTAGATCCATATCTATC